ACCTACCCTTAGTGACCACCTACCCTTAGTGACCGCCTACCCTTAGTGACCACCTACCCTTTATGACCTCCTACCTTAGTGAACACCTATCCTAAGTGACCACCTATCCTAAGTGACCACCTATCCTAAGTGACCACCTATCCTTAGTGACCACCTATCCTTAGTGACCTATACCCTTAGTGACCAGCTTCCCTTAGTGACCACCTATCCTTTGTGACCACCTTTCCTTAGTGACCACCTTCCCTTAGTGACAACCTACCCTTAGTGACCACCCTCCCTTAGTGACCACCTACCTTATTGACCACCTTAACTTAGTGACCACCTACCCTTAGTGACTATCTAGTGACCGCCTGTCCTATGTGACCACCTACCCTGAGTGACCACCTACCCTTAGTGACCACCTACCCTTAGTGACCACCTACCCTTAGTGACCAGCTGCCCTTAGTGACCACCTTCCTGAAGTGACCACCACCTTACCTTAGTGACCACCTGCCCTTAGTGACCACCTACCCTTAGTGACCACCTACCCTTAGTGACCACCTACCCTTAGTGACCACCTACCCTTAGTGACCACCTACCTGTAGTGACCACCAACCCTTAGTGATCAGCTACCCTTAGTGACCAGCTACCCTTAGTGATCACCAACCCTTAGTAATCACCTACCATTAGTGACCACCTTCCCTTCGTGACCACCTTTCCTTAGTGACTACTTGTCCTAAGTGACCACCTATCCTTAGTGACCACCTATCCTTTGTGACCACCTTCCCTTAGTGACCACCTACATTAGTGACCACCTTAACTTAGTGACCACCTACCCTTAGTGACCACCTACCCTTTGTGATCACCTTAACTTAGTGATCACCTTAACTTAGTGACCACCTACCCTTAGTGACCACCTACCCTTAGTGACCACCTACTCTTAGTGACCACCTAGCCTTTATGACCACCTATCCTAACTGACCACCTATCCTAAGTGACCACCTATCCTAAGTGACCACCTATCCTAAGTGACCACCTATCCTTAGTGACCTATACCCTTAGTGACCAGCTACCCTTAGTGACCAGCTACCCTTAGTGACCACCTTACCTTAGTGACCACCTTACCTTAGTGACCACCTGTCCTTAGTGACCACCTATCCTTAGTGACCAGCTACCCTTAGTGACCAGCTACCCTTAGTGACCACCTTCCCTTAGTGACCACCTATCCTTAGTGACCACCATAACTCAGTGACCACCTACGCTTAGTGACCACCTACCCTTAGAGACCACCTACCCTTAGTGACTACCTACCCTTAGTGACCACCTACCCTTAGTGACCACCTACCCTTAGTGACCTCCTACCCTTTATGACAACCTACCTTAGTGAACACCTATCCTAAGTGACCACCTATCCTAAGTGACCACCTATCCTAAGTGACCACCTATCCTTAGTGACCTATACCCTTAGTGACCACCTACCCTTAGTGACCACCTACCCTTAGTGACCACCTATCCTTTGTGACCACCTACTCTTAGTGACCACCTACTCTTAGTGACCACCATAACTCAGTGACCACCTACCCTTAGTGACCACCTACCCTTAGAGACCACTTTCCCTTAGTGACCACCTACCCTTAGTGACCACCTACCCTTAGTGACCACCTTCCCTTAGTGACCACCTTCCCTTAGTGACCACCTTCCCTTAGTGACCACCTTCCCTTAGTGACCACCTATCCTTAGTGACCGCCTACCCTTAGTGACCGCCTACCCTTAGTGACCACCTACCCTTAGAGACCACCTACCCTTAGTGACCACCTACCCTTAGTGACTGCCTACCCTTAGTGACCACCTACCCTTTATGACCACCTACCTTAGTGAACACCTGTCCTAAGTGACCATCTATCCTTAGTGACCTATACCATTAGTGACCAGCTACCCTTAGTGACCAGTTACCCTTAGTGACCACCTACCCTTAGTGACTGCCTACCCTTAGTGACCACCTACCCTTTATGACCACCTACCTTAGTGAACACCTGTCCTAAGTGACCATCTATCCTTAGTGACCTATACCATTAGTGACCAGCTACCCTTAGTGACCAGTTACTCTTAGTGACCACCTTCCCTTACTGACCACCTTCCCTTAATAACCACCTACCCTTAGTGACCACCTTCCCTTAGTGACCACCTTCCCTTAGTGACCACCTTCCCTTAGTGACCACCTACCCTCAGTGACCATCTACCCTTAGTGACCACCTACCCTTAGTGACCACCTACTCTTAGTGACCACCTACTCTTAGTGACCACCTACCCTTAGTGACCACCTACCCTTAGTGACCACCTATCCTAAGTGACCACCTATCCTAAGTGACCACCTATCCTAAGTGACCACCTATCCTAAGTGACCACCTATCCTTAGTGACCTATACTCTTGGTGATCACCTTCTTTTAGTGACCACCTTCCCTTAATGACCACCTTCCCTTTGTGACCACCTTCCCTTAGTGACCACCTATCCTTAGTGACCACCTTCCCTCAGTGACCATCTACCCTTAGTGCCCACCTACCCTTAGTGAACACCTATCCTAAGTGACCAGCTACCCTTAGTGACCAGCTACCCTTAGTGACCACCTTCCCTTACTGACCACCTTCCCTTAATAACCACCTACCCTTAGTGACCACCTTCCCTTAGTGACCACCTTCCCTTAGTGACCACCTTCCCTTAGTGACCACCTACCCTTAGTGACCACCTACTCTTAGTGACCACCTACCCTTAGTGGCCACCTTCCCTTAGTAACCACCTACCCTTAGTGACCACCTTCCCTTAGTGACCACCTATCCTTAGTGACCACCTACCCTCAGTGACCACCTACCCTCAGTGACCATCTACCCTTAGTGACCCCCTACCCTTAGTGACCACCTACTCTTAGTGACCACCTACCCTTAGTGGCCACCTACCCTTTATGACCACCTACCTTAGTGAACACCTATCCTAAGTGACCACCTATCCTTAGTGACCTATACCATTAGTGACCAGCTACCCTTAGTGACCACCTACCTTAGTGACCACCTTAACTTAGTGACCACCTTAACTTAGTGACCACCTACCCTTAGTGACCACCTACCCTTAGTGATCACCTTAACTTGGTGACCACCTACCCTCAGTGACCACCTACCCTTAATGACCACCTACCCTTACTGACCACCTACCCTTAGTGACCACCTACTCTTAGTGACCACCTATCCTTAGTGACCACCTACCCTTAGTGACCACCTACCCTTAGTGAACACCTATCCTAAGTGACCACCTATCCTTAGTGACCAACTACCCTTAGTGACCACCTACCCTTAGTGACCACCTTCCCTTAGTGACCACCTTAACTTAGTGACCACCTTAACTTAGTGACCACCTACCCTTAGTGACCACCTACCCTTAGTGATCACCTTAACTTGGTGACCACCTACCCTCAGTGACCACCTACCCTTAATGACCACCTACCCTTACTGACCACCTACCCTTAGTGACCACCATAACTCAGTGACCACGTACCCTTAGTGACCACGTACCCTTAGTGACCACGTACCCTTAGTGACCACCTACCCTTAGTGACTACCTTCCCTTAGTGACCACCTTCCCTTAGTGACCACCTTCCCATATTGACCACCTACTCTTAGTGACCACCTACCTTTAGTGACTACCTATCCTTAGTGACCACCTATCCTTAGTGACCACCTACCCTTAGTGACCACCTATCCTTAGTGACCAGCTACCCTTAGTGACCACCTACCCTTAGTGACCACCTTCCCTTAGTGACCACCTTCCCTTAGTGACCACCTTCCCTTAGTGACCACCTACCCTTAGTGACCTTTATCTATGTATCTAGTTTTGACAAATAAACATGCATACAAATTCTATATTGATAAAAGATAATATTCTTCAAATATCTGTAATATTTTTCTATTCACAAATGAATTAATCAACCCTCATATAAAGATTACCTCCTAATGTTTATGCATGTGCAGAAGATAAAATAATAGCATTCACTGCTGTTATTGAAACAAGATGCATTCTCACAGTAGATCACAAGCTAATGCTGATATCGGGCATGCCTAGACCGATTAGCCTCAAAGTGCATATGCACATAAATTTGTTTCATGTTGATGACGTTGGACCAAAACCAATTTACCCTTTTTCTCATCACTGATTAAATTCAAGCTCTCATTTTACAAACCTTCCTAAACTCATTGCCAGTCGCTCGGAGCATTTTAATCAATAACTAACTGATAATAACTAACTAACTGCATTGATACACATATTCACTGAAAACTGGTTGGGGACTATGTCATTGATAATGTCTTCTTTTATAAGCTCCACTGTCTACTTTTTCAAACAGATCTTACCGTATGAGTGATTACTTGTCTGCATCATTCGTAGTCCATGTCAATTTTTTACTTATACGACTTCTTGAAAAGTACAATTCTTATTGCTTTGATACTTGGTGTACAATGTATATGTACCTTGGGCAAACCTCTCTTAGATTTGTTCATTTCGTGATGATATCTTTAATTCTCTAATTTTGATGAATATTTTGTTCAGATTTGTTCATTTTGGGTTAGGGTTAAAAAATAATGATTAGTGGAGTAATTGTAGCACAAATTTCCAAACAAAACAGCAGTTACTCTTGACACAACTTTTAATTTTCACAATTCAAACTGAAACACAAGCTTTCTATGGATAGGATGGAATAACACCAGAAGATTGTCAAATATGACATCAGAGTTTGTTGATTGAATTCATGGTCGGCTTGCCATTTAAAGTTCTAGATATTTATACAAATGAAGTGGATGGGTTTGTTGTGTTGATAGTTTTCACTAGTTTTCTGTCAATATTTTCATACTGAGTATTTACAAAACAGTTTAGACATGATACAGATCAGATTTGGTATGGCTATGTGTTAACACATGTAGAAGTAGAGAAATAGAAGTAATAACAAGTTATCACATCTGATTTGTTTTTTTCACTTAGATATAATGATTACAAGCATGATAAATATTCTAAGTGTAACTGTACTCCACCATACAGTGCTGAGAATGCTATATCTGCAAGGTCAGACCTCAACCCATCCTCTGGTACATATCCATTTGCTGCACTTGGTCAGAGATGTCATGGCGGCACTGACATGAAGGTAAAAACAGTGCTTTGGGTCAGATATCATAGCAACACTGACAGGAAGGTAAGGACAGTGCATTGCAGATGTCATGGTATTACTGACAGAAAGG